ACAGGAAACAACAATGCTGTGTGACAGACGCTCTTAACCACTCTGTCTATTTCTGTTTTTTGTATTACATCAGCTGCAAACAATCCAGTCTCCCTGAACCAAGTGAAAGAGGAGTCTGAAGAGAATAACATTTCAGAAGGTGTGAGCTCTTCTTTTGACTGATCACTCACTATCCAGATTTCACCTGGCCAGATCTCTCCCTAATACTGGGGCAAAAGGATATCCCGATCTTTGCACTTGAACACTTCAGAGGCAAGGTTTTGCTTCTGACTCTTCAACCAAGACAGGAGCCTACAGAGTATGGAGTCACGTCTTCAAAAAAAAGATGGTTATATGTACAGAGGGATTAAAACCCAACTATGCAAGATATTTTTTTTATTTTTTTATTGTCCATTGGTTTCACTCGCCGGTATCCCATGACTGTATGCTCCTAGCAATCACAGCGGAGAAACTGTTTCTCTCATCTTTTGTGATTTAATGACTTTGACTTTTCAAAGTTTGCATCTGCATTAGCAGAAGGATTTTTAAATTATTGTTGTATTTATCATCTTGTGAATTTTTTTCCTCTTAACTCAAACAGAACAAAACTGTACTAGGTTCAGAAGATGGCTTGTCAGTCAAGGACAAAATAGGTCCCATTGCAGATGGGGAGTAGATTGAATGTTTATGTTGAATCAGTTGAATGACAAACACCACTGGTACATTGGGAATGACATGAGAGCCAACACTTGCTATGGATATTAAGTTATATTACACAATGTTGGTTGGTTAATAATGACATTTAATTAAAGGTTGTTCACATGTCCATTTCTGTGAAAGACCAGTCCTTTCAAGAGGAAAAAAAACTGTTTGGGGTTGACTTGGAAACTATACACAAAAATAAAATTGAATGCAGTTAGACACAGCTGATAAGCAGACTGCATTTAATAATAATGCCTTGACTTTATATAGAGCTTTTATCACAAAGGACCTTTAACTACTGAAGGGAGCCCACTTCATTCATCACCAGGTAATGGGTGGTAGCCATTTTGAGCAAGTAAGCCCATTACAGAGCAGGTCAAATGGAGAAATGAGAAGCTGCTTTTCATGGCATTAACTGTAGAAAGGCCTGACAGCAAGGCCAGGATGGCATTCATCCAGAACAGTAGGGTTGACACTCCTGCCCTTATGAACAGAGCCATTGGCTTTAATTACCAAGTAGTCAGGGCCTCAGCTCTGACCCATCTCACCCATAGAATGGCACTTCAAACATCACAGTCAACCCACTGGGTGATCGGATTAGAAATTCTCATATGCAGGGAAGAGAGCCACCAGCATCACTTACAGCAGCAACACAAGTTTCATCAGAGGTCTTCCATCCTAGTCCTGACCAGGACCAGCCTTGCGTAATTGCCGAGATCTGATGATGTTAAGCTTCAAGGTAACAACATTGCTGCCCTCTGTATGATGCAGTTTATTGCTTAAAGAGCTCACTACGTGGTAAATAAACACATACTTCATCAGCTGAGGAAATTAGTCAAGCAATTAGGAAAGACCAACAGGCCAGCATCCTGTGAATCAAAAAGTCAAGAGACCTCTATCTCGTTCAAAGTTAGCCACTCCACACTGGTGAGAGATAAACTCGAATGTCCAATTTACATAAGAAAAAACAGGAAAATGGGACTTCCGATAAAAAAATCAAGCTGAAATGTCTCCTGTGGAGCTGCTTGTGTAGCTCATTGGACAAAGGCCTCTGCTCAGAGAGACTTGTTTTGTGTCTCTGGACTATGTCTTTAAGGCTAGGATGTGCCAAGAGGCAGTGCACAATTGGAAAAACAACCAAGATTATCTGGTTTCATAGCTGATCAGAATACTCCTTTGGTCATAATTGTGTGTTCACAGCACATGTTTTGGAGAGAGATCTTTAACTAGAAACCCTCGTTGATTAACAAGTACAGGTTCTCAATTGATATGTATAGAAAGACATTTATAGAAATAAGGGAAGATGGCCTTAAACCACAAAGTGTTTACTGGTGATAGCACTTTGGGGACTGACAATACACTGATGTGTCTTTGACCCGTGTCAGATTTTGTAATCTGCCTTGTTCTGTGCACTTTTAAAGTGATTGGAGATGTAGCAGTCAGACCATCAGTACAGGCCTGTAATACAGTTGCAGCTGAAGAGGAAATAAGTATTAATCACAGTCTGGCATCTGTAACCTGACAGATGTACAGAATTGTTTTTAGATGGGATATGTAAGCGTAAAGTGACTGTTCTTATCACGTTCATCATTCCATTTTAAACAGTGACATCCAAAATGGTTTTGCTGCTCAAGTTTTCCTTCATCAAGGGACAAAAAGATTCATATCTATAGGCATTAGCTTGTGGGAGAAATCTATGATTTCACAGAGCAGCAGTGTGACTTCAGTCTCAGATGTGGGTGATATCAGGGGCTCAATGGAGGTCATGCATGCGACAACAGTCACTGGATTATTTGTCCTTAATTGGACTTTCTCAAGATATAAAGAAAGGAGACAGAGTCTAAATGGGGTGAAGCCCAAATCAAAGTTAAATCTAAGCCTTTTGGTTTTTTTAAAAAAAGGGACCCTTAATGTGTCTGGTACAAATTAATAATCCATTCATTGTCAGAAAAATGCTAATCATGATGAAGGCCATGGCAAACCAGTTTATCCCAGAAGAATCCAGCAGAAGGAAGGTCTAAGACCACACTACCCTACACCTGGAGAGGAGACCAGCCTATCACAAGGTCAGAGAGAAAGACAGTTCAGAATAGCAATAAAACCCTTAACTGTAACTACAGTTGTTTTCTGCAGAGCAACTCTTCCAATTGAAAGTGATGTGATTGACTATAAGGCCATATGAGCTATTACCACAAAGATCAATTTCAAATGATCAAATGGGTATGGCTTCAAATATTTACTCTAATAACTTTGTCCCATCATGTATTCTGTAAAACATGAAATTTTGCATATTGGACAAAATTACTTGAGCGACATCAGACCTACAGCAAGTGCCTTCCAAATACATTTGTGGATTTTGTAGACTATCAAAAAGGTTTGCAAGTGGAAAATGACTACTGCTATAATTAATAAAAAAAAAAAAGATGTCCAGGATATCTCGGTACTCGTCCATTTAATGTACTCGTTCAGTGATGCATACACACAAGGTACACATTTGCAACAGCTGAAGTTCCTTGAAGAGGCTTCCATTATGTATTAAATCAGCTCTGCTCCACAGGTGCTAGTGGCTATGTGCTCCAGTTCAGGTCACAGGTGAGGACGAGCAACAACCTCTCTTCATAAAATGTGACTTGCCTATTTTTTACAATACCTACCCAATATGGATTAGCCCATTGAATGTTTTTCACACTTCAGCTGCAAGAATATTTGCAGGAATACAGCATGTACATTTTTATATATAATTTACAAGCTCTTGCTCAATGTCAGATCTGACCAACAGATACTGATTAAGAAAGTGTTGACTGCATCTTTATCATTTCCACATATGACACATGCAGACCAGCCTCTTGACTAATCAAGACTTTCTTCTGACAGTCTGCAAGCCTGGTGTCATCTGTTTTTTGACAAAGGCAAGATTACAGAGGAGTAACTAACTTTGCAACAATACATTTTACACCATAAGGAAGAAAAATAAGCACTGGATCACAAATATTGTAAAATATTTAATGCATTAAAGAAATGCAAAAAGATCTGGGAACATTTTACATTCTCCTCTTTAGGGCCTTTTTTTACAAATCACAAATTGCACTTCACTGCAGGAATTTAACTTGGGGACAACAGCTAGTGGCAGATCAAGAACTTCACAGGTATCTGCCAAGACGTGCACTCCTCAGATACCCAACTGTTTTAGAACTGCAAGCCTATAACAGATGAGGCCTAAAACAGAAGACGGTTCTCACTGTTAACACCCTACACGTACAGGAGAATGATAAATCACTGGCAGATCAGCCAACCTGAGGCCACTGACACACAGCCAGCCTGCACAAATCCTCCAGACCCTGCTAGCTGCACACTCCGGATTGTTACCACCAATCTTTCTAAAGCACGGTGGCTATACTGCTTATTCCATCATGGAAACATCCTTACTCTTGTGTCAGATTTGATTCATGAACTGAAGAGTAAGCTGCTTTTTTTTTACGCGGAGTAACATTTCCAGATTTTGGTCTCCGTACACGCGTAAAAACAAGAATGAATTACTGGATGGGGAAAATCACTGTGCATTATTCTTTGTCAATGTTCTTTCCTGCACACCATCCGTGAGTCAAAAAAAGCTTGTACAGTACTTGCAGTTTCACAATAAAGGAAAAAAAAAACAGATTAAAAAATAAATGTGCAGTTTATCAGTCTTCCTCTTCCTCCTTGACTTTCTTCTTTTTCTTCTTCTTCTTTTCTGTCTTCTAAACAAATGGGGAAAGGTTTAAGTTAGCCCACCAAATCTCACCAATCTCAGTTTCAAGTTTCATAAACCCTCCAAATGTTTTTTTTCCCTCCATCAGTATTTTTTTATCTACCAAGCTATCCATTCAAAACACAAATTCAAAACAAAAAAATAAAGTGGCTTTGGTTCTAGTCTGGTTACAGTCTCCAAATAAATCTGAACCGTGCCAATGCGCTGTCAAATCATACCACCAAACAGGCCGAAAGGCAGAAAGGACTTGTCTGGTTGGTAACTCTTTGAATGATACTGGAGACCTGGATGACTCAAAACACTCGGAACTTCATAGACTCAAGATTTATTAGTGAAAAAGATGCACACCAGAGAAACTAATGTTTCAGCCACAATGGCAGGTTAACTAAAAATCACAGAGTCTCTGTCTTTTCAACCCAACACCCCAGACCGCAGGCGTAACTGGACGTCTGGTCACCCCAGGCCCCTACCTCTTCAACGGCCATGCTGGTGGAAGGCTCTTCCTCTGCTGCCTCCTCCTCCTCCTGCTGCTGCTTCTTCTTCTCCTTTTTCTTCTTCTTCTTGGGCGGTTCACTCACTTCGGTCTCCGCTGCCTCTGTTTCGCACAAAACACAACCATCAATGCCTCAGTTTAGAGCCTGGACTCAGGCTGGTGAGCTCCTTTGCACTACAGCTTTAACAGTCAGCTAGTCAATTCCATTGACTGCTTGTGTCAAAGAAGCAATTATGCACGCGTCATTATCATCGTTACGACTTCTGTGAGGTTCACTTCTGGCTCATGAAAGATTTGATTAATAAATCAGCCGAGTGACAAGGACTAAGACTGGCAAGGCATGCAATAAAATGCCACTTTTAACGGAAACTGTACATTTTAATGTATATGGTATGGTCTTAAATCAAAGGCATACAATAATACAATGGAGAATCTGTTCATGAGGCAATACTCCAGAACATTTATCAAGGATAGGGGAAAAATTCTTACAAATCCATGTACTGACCTTCTAACACGCTTTCTTTAGCTTTCTTCGCTTTGACTTCTCCAGCCTCTTCTTCCTCCTCTTCCTCAAATTTCCTTTTCTTCGAGACGGAGGGCAGAGTGGAGTCGCCGGAGGGGTCGTAGAACTTCACCTCACTGCCAAGACATTTTCACAGCAACACATCAAGATCCAAGCTTTTCAGAAGGGCGTGCTTTGTTCCTAAGGAAGACAACCGACGCTACACAAACCCCCCCTTTCCTCTAAAGTTAGGTCCAATCTGGGATTGTCTAAATTGTAAGTGCCCACAGCCTGTAAAGTCTGAAATCAACCCATTCCCTTTACCCCAGTTTCACAAAAACAGAGGATGGGGGGGGGTTAACTTAAATTTCTACTGCCACATTTGTGGAAAAACAGGCCTGTCTGGCTGTCAACATCCAAGAAAAAGTTTAAAAAAGCAGACACTTCCAACTAGCTATGGTCTTCAAAACACTTCAAAGTGTTACAAAGTCAAAGCAGGTTACGTTTTGGCTAAAAGGACTGATGTGTACTATAAAGACAGCAGAGGGGTTGGGGGTGGGGGGGAACATGAACTTGGCATGAGGTGTTAACAGATGGATGAGGGAGCACAGGAAAGCTCACCTCTTGTGCTGGTACTTCTCCGCCCTTGCCAAGGCCTTTCCTGTGCCACTTATTTTTCTGATCTGGGGAGAGACAAAGGGAACACTGTACCGACCTTGGTCTATACAGAACACTTTGGCACGAACGAGACCTTTTTTTAACCCACAGAGCTTCAAAAGAGGAAGGGAACTTTGCACCGCAAGAAAGGGATCCAAACATGCCTCAGCGGCTCATAACGTTGGGAAATGAGGAAAGGCTAAATTACAAAAGCCTGAACTGTAACTTAGCCAGGGCAAGTATTGTATACTGCAAACGGGCATCTTCTTTCAGATTAGATGTAAAACCGAGGTCCTAACTCTCTATGGTCATTAAAAATCCCAGGGCGTTTCTCGAAAAGAACAGGGGTTTAGCCAAATGTCCCATTGGCCCTTACCAATCATGGCCTCCTAATAATCCCCATCTATGAATTGGCTTCATTACTTCTCTTCCCCTCCCCGCTAATAGGCTGTTGCATCATCCAGGTGGGGCTGCACATTGGTGGTGGTAGTGGGATTCCCCATTACCTGTAGAGTGCTTTGAGTGGAGTGTCCAGAGAAGCACTATATAAGTGTAAGCTATTATTATTATTATTTTAGAATTAATTTGGGGTGCCTAGTCAGGTTCTTTCACTCTGGACTTCCCACAGAATTTTCTTGAAAGGTCTACTATCCCATTGTCAAGCCAACCCGGTTAAATGTCTAATACCTGATAAGGCCTCAAGGGGCACTCTCGGTTAATATGAATCAATTGATCGTATTGATAAATCACAGTTGATCAATACAAATGAAAAAATCCATAACCCAAAACGCTGCGTGCTAGAATTTTACAAAAACTTCTCATTACGAGGAACGGTTCAGATTTGGTTAGCCGCTCAAAGCTGCTTTCCCCTGGTTCTCAAATGCATCCTGAAACACTGTATCCCAATCACTCCTGTTATGGAAGGCACACGGATCTCTTTGCATCTCCTTGCACTCAAATTATAGACTTGCAGCTTGAACTGTATAACTTCAGTAAAAGAGGAACCTTAAATCACAACTATCCGAGGTCTAACTCATACTTACTCCTCGGTCCTCTAGATGTCGTAACCTGGCCTCCAGCTTGGCTCGGTTTTCAGTTCCCATCTCCGCGTTGGTGTCGTCTCCTAGGGCGTCGTATCGAATTGCCAGAGCGGCTTTGGCCGCCAGCATCCTGGAGATCTGCAGAGAGAACAAGCCCAACATTCAGCTCCCAGCTTCACCAGACTGTCAGGCTACTGACAGATTTGCTCATGCAGAACTGGTTCTCCCACTCGCCACAATCTCACCTTGCCTTTGTTCTTTGGTGTAGTCTGTCCTACTAATGATGCATGGTAGATCAGCCCATACTTAGGGGTATCCCGCCTGGTCTTCAAAGCCCTGAACAGAGCTTTCTCCGCTCCGAGGATCTGAACCGTGGAGGCTGGGTGTTTAGCTAAATTTAACAGAGATCCTGTAAGGAGAACACAGACATTTTACAATTAAGTGATTTATCAGCATCGTCACACTTACAATGCAGAAGTGTCGCCACCTTGCAGTCCAATAACAGCCTAGATGTTAAGAAGCTAAGCAAGGCAGAGCCTCATCTACACCTCCATTAGTGATCTCTAAAGAAAGCAGGTAGCGAAAGCTGGTGTTGATCAATCATTGGCACTCTTCCCACTGGGTCAGAACCAAAACCAAAATGCTGACCACTTCATAGTCATAGTTAAAGATCCCATGGCATTGTTCAGACGTTGTAGGGGTGTTAACCCTGACGTCCTGTCTCAAGTCCACTCTGGACTTGCACAATCTCCCTAAGTAGGTGTTGCAGTTCAGTGGTGGATGTGAAGAACTTTGGGATTCTTTGGGGGGGAAAAAATACTAAATGTTAAAATGTAGTAACTATGGCTTGCAAATCCACCATTTAGAATACAAAAATCTCAATCTCAACTGAACTTATATTTAAATTATAGGGGTGTCAGGTTTTTGCAAAGACGCACCTTTCTTTATAAAATTCCCTCGTTCCTAGATCAAGCTCTGGTGGATGAAGTACTTAGAAGTACAGCATTTCACCACCACTGCAATTGTAACCCACAGAACTGGTTTTAAAATTTCATCACGTGCACTTCAGCGGAAAGATCTCTGTGAACACTTTAAAATTGCACAAAAAGAGACCCACTAGCAAGTTTTCAGGCGAGGATCAGGGAACAGCTCAGATGAGGTAGTGACTTAAAACCCACATTTGTGATTCAGGGAAGTGACAATAGGTCATCATCATCACCGCTGTTCTCTTTGATCAAATTTAGGTGATATTCTGAACTGCAGTGTTATTTCCATATATAAAACACCATTTTCTACACATCTGTAAAATGTATACATCTAGGCTAGATATCTTTTAAAAAACACTACAGTACATACTACTTGCCTATATTACGCACGCAACAGTCACCCAACTGCGTAAAGCAATTACATGTGAGATGGCCTCCACTTCAGCTCTTGAAAAGAACTACGAAGCCTTGCCTGCAAATTGGAGCCTGTTGCTGCTGTGCAAACTCACCGGCGTGCGAGATAAGTCTCGCCCCCACGAGCTCTCCCACCATGATAGTGAGATTGGGCGCTATGGCCATCATTCTGTTCTTCAGGTAGTCATACAGCTGCGCTCGGTACTCCGAGATCTCGATGACCTAAGGGAAAACACCATTCCTTCATAGTCACGGCTCCAAGCACTCTAAAACGGCCGCAGTACATTTCATAACACCCCCCAAAAAAAACAAATGATTGCAATATCTGCTTGGGGATCAAGCTGAAAGCAAGCTTTAAAAAGCTCATGTGAAATGCAATAAATGATCATGTTACAGCTCAGAAGAGGTAGTGACTTAAAAGCCTACACAGGTAATTCAGGGAGATGACTTTAAGTCTTCCTCATCACTGCTGTCCCATATGATCACTGAAAACAGATACAGATAGATCACTGCAGTATTTGGATTTACCATATATACCACCACCCCTAGCAACCCAACAACACCAGAGGCTAAGAGGAGTTGAGGTTAGAGCAAGATGCTTCTTTACACACCACCTAAAACCTTTCATAACCTCCGTTATAACCATCTGAATCAAAAAAGTACCTTGCCTGACCCATCGCTATATGTTTCCCATCTATTCCGTTATGCATACCTGGTCACACAAGTGTGAGATGTTGGCGATGTCTTCTTCGGAAACCTCAGTGCCCATGGAGATCTCGGCAGCCGTTTTCACTTCGCCCTCCACCTCTTCTGGCAGGATATCAGAAAGATCTGTGCTCGCCACATTCGTGCGAGCTCCTGAAACCAAGCACGTACACTACATGTAAGTTATAAGAACCCGACTGTAACAAGGACTTAAGATATCTATGTTGCAGCCTTCAGATGCTCTATTAGTTGGGTAACTGGGCAAAGCACTGAGACATTACTGCTTCAGCACATACTGTAACTCCCTCTTCGCTTCTGCCAAGATCACTCGTTGCTCTGTAACGTACAGAGGAAGCTACAAACAACTCAGATTGCCTTTTCTGCACAACAGCAGAACAGAAGACAAGCCTGACAGGCAGCTAGTGTGAAAGGAAGACACGGAAAACTTTTCTGTTATTGCCAGAGAAATAAACCATTATTCCTCACAAATGAGGTAAAACCCTTAACCCATGCACTTTGCAAATGTGGGAGGTAGACGAAGTAAACTGCACCAGTCGTTACAAATATTCACCCTGACCGTTTTAAAAACTGGCCATAAAAATACCGGTTAATTTCAATATGCTTCAGCTTTAGCTTTATAATGATACACGTCACTATTTTCTTTTCGGGGCAAATTTTTTCTTTTTGCTTTTAACTACCTGTTAAAATAGTAAGGGATGATCAACAGTGCTCATTGCTGCTTTTTGTTTTTAAATTGCTGCACAGAACATTAATCGCTGCACATCTAAGTATTTTCCACATTCCTAATGTCAAACCATTGACACCGTCAGACAAGTCCCGCGTGACCTACCTATTTTTCGGATAGCCTTACAGTACGCCAGGTTATCCGTGATGATTTTTCCCAGTTCAGGGAAGTGCCAGCCATACCACTCTCTGCATCGCATGATGTAATTGTTCAGCTCCTTGTCCAAATCATCAAGCAGAGCTGTTTGAATTAAGAGAACAAAAGTCGGGTCTCGAGAAGAACCGTTTGAACAGGTGTATCAAACAAATCCAAATGTACATCCAAAATATCAGCTTTCATCTCCATTCTCCAAACCAGTGCTCGAGGTCACACCTCCCCTGGATTCAATGTGGTTTTCTAAAGCAATTTAGTAACAAAGATGAGCTCTGGAACATACTGGTTTCAAAAGACATGACAAAAAACTATTAGAATATTAGCTAGGTCTTATTAGCTAGGAATATTCGCTGAAATACAACACTGACACACTAAAAACCTCTTCAATCCTGAAAATAGAAAGCTACAAAAAGACCCGATTCAATTATTAAAACCCTAAAAGGCACTGCCAAAGTCTGGTCAGAATCAGCAGGGAAATGTTGAGGGCACAAATGAAAACAAAGGGGAAGTGATTTTAAAACTAAGAACAGGAGGCACCTTTTTTATACAGCCTCCTCTTATTTGTAACATATCCCATGTTCTTAAAATTGGAGGATTACCAATGAGATCTTTAAAGCAAAGCACATTTATATATTTGCAGTCAGGAACCTACGTAAAATACAGAAATTGCGGGAGAACAGTTGAACCTATGGTACTTTACAAACATTTTTTATATCTTAACTGTTACTTACAGATAGCTTGGACGATCATGGTATCCACTTTATCTGGGCTGAACTTCAGCTTGTACCGAGACAGGCTGGGGAAAAAAAAACAACCACAAGACAATCTGAGCACAGAACCACCAGCGACAAACCTCTTCCAAGACTGACAACCGATTCTGGAATTCTGGAATTAGGCAGGTCACATCATGACGTTTAATATCAAAAACCTAACACTGCAGAATGACAACTCTGTACAACTCTGCATTACCCATGCGATCGAGGCTTGCCGTCTCAGTGGTAGTGACGAATTCTGACGAGATTCTTCACGAAGCATTTCAGCCAGCAGAATGTAATCATTGACAGCGCAGCCCCGCTCAGCCAGAAAGGGTTTGATTTGCGCCCCCACCCTATCCCCCTCTGTCCTGGGGAGCTCCACCCACCTGTGAGCCAGCCCCAGGGCCATGGCACTCATCTCCCTGGGGGGCAGGCCGGTGATCAGCCCCTCCATCTGGTTCCGGATCCCCCTCATGAGCTCCGCCACGGCTGGGCTGTGCACGCAGCTCAGGTTCAGCTTGTCCTGTGGGGGGCGGAGTGGGATCTTAGTACACACACACCAGGAGGACATCGTGTTTTACCTCTAGGCTGCCATTTAACAACCCCCCACCCAATACACCCTATCAAACTGTCTCACAACGCATCTCCAAAGTGCTTTGATCCAATACAGACACCAAGAATAAGATGTAAACTTTAAATCATACCGACACTTTATATTGTCTACTACCAACAAAAGAAATTGAAGTCTATCCCACTGCTTTAATGATGCAGGTGCAGCACACCTGGCAGACATCCAACTTTAAGTGATCTCAACAAGATCTAACACCCTTGTCAACCTTACAAGAGCCTGACACTGATGGCTGCTGGGAGCACTGCGGGTTCTGTGTTTTTAATTGAGGAAGGAAATCAAAGAAGCAACATGAGGTTTTCTGCCATTTCCTTCTTAATATTTAAGAATGCACACAACTATCAATGCCTGCGGGTTCTCAACCAGTGAAAAGGCGCAGCTAAGGTTTTTTTTCTGGTGTCAGAGCTACCCTGAACTGCTTGATTGACAGCAGGAAAAAGTCCTTGACACGTGGCAATCACAGGAGCTGGGAATCACCTCCCTAGCCGCGTGATCTGGGGGAAATCTTTTAACAGGCTGACAGAATTCTTGGGATCATTAAGCCACTGGAAACCAAAGACACAAAAAAAGGGGCCTCCGCATTCGCAAACGCGGAAACTTCAAAACGTCAACCGGTCATCTTTACGCAAAGGCCCAGGGAGCCGCGGTCGTACTTTGATCACGCCGCCCAGTTTGGCATCGCTGATGGCCAGCTGCTCGTGGGCTTCCTTCGCCACAACCCTCTTCAGGACCTTCTTCAGGCTCTTCCCGATCTTGCCCTCCACCAATGCGGTGGCAGCTAGCGAGAGATTTGGACAGCGTTAGGCGTGGCGGGCAGACCAGCAATGGCCAAAACAAACCACCAAGGAGCGGAGGGAGAAGCCCGTGGCCCACAAACGCCAGCAGGCAATGTTTCTCCCCCGAATGCGATCGATTCTCCCGCTGCACTGCTGTCTCAGTGGTAGTGACGAAAACTGAAAATTGACCTCATTTGTTTTTCACTCAGGCAACACAGAATGCATCATCGACAGCAGAGTCAAAAGTAAAAACTACCATGTAGGCCTTAACTGCATTTTTTTACAGGTTTCCTTTTTTTGTTTGAGTACTGGTTGTCAACGGCTCTCACAGAACATAACTGTAAAAGTTAGGGGTGAGCTAACTAAGGATATGACAATATCTGTGTATTAAACTAACAGAATAAAAACAGTTTCTCACAAAAACCTTTTTTGTATGTTCACGTACAAGCACAGGAAGCAATAAAACCAAAAACTTTTCGCATCAGGAGACGCGAAGAACCACATACATGGAAGTGCAGGACTGTTTGGGATACCTCTAAATTCTTAAATTGAACCCCAAAAAACATCGTACCTGCCAGTGCTTCTGTGGTGTCCTGGAATTTTTCAAAGTGTTTGAGTTTCACTCTGGCAAAAGAAAGATTAAATTCAGATCAAACAATCAGAAAAAAAGAACTGACTTAAGCGTATTCAAAACACTTGATAAAATAACACATATCCAGAGCAGACTGTTTAATCTGTACAGGAATTGTCACCAGCCTAACACAGTACTCTGTCAATCAGATTAAATAAAATGACTTGTTTTATACAATTCTGTCCAAAGTATGCATACTGTAGGTTTTCCACTTAAATAAAAGCTTAGTCTAGTTTCTGGGAAGTTGAAGATTTATACAGAAGGGTTGATTTCAATCCTAGAGGTTGGTAACATACCTACAAGGTAAAAGAAAAGCCTTTAAACGTTTAAAAAAACCACAAAATGAAAATGTATTTACATTTTATTTGCTCTTTCTGGAGTCTGGAATTCTTCCCACAATTTGTCCACCTCCTGGAGTTTTTTCTCATTGAGAACCTGAAAAAAAAGTTTAAGGGGTTAGAAACACTAAAAAGAGTCGCCTGTCGACTCACTATGGATTAACTCATTTTTAAACAGATCTTGGGCTACACTGCTTATCCTTACCGGTTGTCTTATTCGACATTTTCTTATTAAACGATTTTGACTTCGACCATTCCATCAAGACAGATATATCAACTCCCACTCCCACTGAGCGTTCAATAAAGTTCCCCAATGTAGCTGCACCTATTCCCCGTCAAGCCAACAGAACGAACGTCTCTTTACCTGCTTTGTAACATTTTGTGTAAACGCAGAACTACATTTTCCCTCATACTTTTCACCCTGGAATTAACGTCTTTTTCTTGTTGCATCAGCAAAGTTTAACAAGAAAAAAACACAACGTGAAATCGTGCCCTGCGTTAGAGATCATATTGAGATCAAACACGCCGAGCCAAAAGTTGTTCCAATGCAATACACCTCTAACCATCTAACGATACTTTTCTGAAACTGTTTAGCGTTTCGCTAAATATATATATAAAAAGTGGACGATCGTTTCTTTCATGCGCCCAGAATTCTGAAACCTTTCAAAAAAAAGGTTTATTAGCTGCGATTTTCAGATTCTCTCTCTACTCGTCTCAGCAGGCTGTTTTCATTCCGATTTCTGCAAGATCGAGCAATCAGATTTGGAAAGCATGAAAGTTAAAAGTCCTCGACCTAATGCCAAGTTACATGTAACCCATGTGGCCAGTCTGCACGCAACGTGGTAGCAGAGAGCGACGGGCCCGCACTCCAAACTTCTTCCCCTACACCTTTTCGTAGACAACTTCGCACACCAAGATCACCGCGTACCACCATTCATGCCCAGATCATTTTAATTTCCCTTAAAACACTTTTATTTGAATGAACATATCGGCAACGCGGGCAAAAAGGACACGCACACGGTAGCACAAGATGGTCCCTTTGCTCTCCTTAGTTCAAATTACTGAAGCCCCCACCCATTTATTTTTCCTTACCTTAAAAATTGCATAGCCAGCGGCGGTCTCGAACAGCACCAACATCTTCGATCATCTATGGACGTTTTCCAGCCTCTAAACGTGGATTTTTCCTTTACTTAGGATCGGCACGCTCCTCCACCACGGGCTTCTGCAGAGACCCTCCACGCGGTGTAGGATCCCGAGACTGCGCACTCCAGGCGCCTGCGCGCGGGGGCGGAGCCGCACACCGGAAACGGAAGGGCTGTGTTAGGAACCGGAGACGAGACCCAGGAGGCACGCTCGAGTGTTTCCGAACCTTTCCGAGTCTTTCCGAAGGCCCATTGAGTGTTTTAAAATGGTTTCAACGTAATGGGTGCTCATCAAGAAAGATCCAACAATACACTTTTGCCTGTCTCGCCTCGCACCTTTTTGCTTATCAGATACAAAAAACCCGTGAATATATCACAAATAATCACAAATAAATTTGACATTGGATGGACGGACATTGTGCTTTGGCTATCCAGTCAAAGCGTTTTGATGGCATACTTATTTCGAAAATACGTCACACGCGGTTGTGTTATATCAAGCCTTCAGCTCACGCAAAAAATGTCAGTTGCATTAGACAAGGACGTTTATTTAAGGGAATAAATAAATAAAAGAAGAACTTTTAGTCTTCTGATGCTGAATGTTTTTTGTATAATGATAAGAAAGAGACACTCACGGCTCTAAGTCTTGACACTGTACAAGTGTATTCATTTATACTATTCATTTACTACATTGGCATTGATCAACAGTTCTTATTTTAAAGTTCTTATACAGACATACTGTATTTAAGGGATGCACTTCGGTGCAGTGGTTAGCAGTCTCACAGTGCTGGGGTTCAATTCCTGGGCTGCTATCTCTGTGCTCAGTTCTACCTCTGGGTGCTCTTCTTTCCTCCTACAGTTCAAAGACATACTGTTAGGTTAAATGGCTTCTGGGAAGATTGACCCTGGTGTGTCTGTCTGCCCTGTGGTTGACTGGTGTAATGGATGGATGATTTTTCCCATAGGAAAACAAGACCCGGCCTATAATAAACACCAGTCCTTAAGAGAACACGGTATTCAGCATTGGTCATACAGTCTCAGGTAGAACATTTACAGTATGAGCTGAAGAAAGCAGATTTCAGGCACAGATCACACAACCAAAAGACGTTCGATATGAGAACCTTAGGATGAGACGTAAAACCGAGTTCCTGACTCTCTGTGGTCATTAAATATGCCAGGGCGTTTCTCGAAAAGAGTAGGGGGTGTAACCCCAGCGTCCTGGCCAAATTTCCCATTGGCCCTTACCAATCATGGCCTCCTAATAATCCCCATCTATGAATTGGCTTCATCACTCTGCTCTCCTCCCCACTGAGAGCTGATGTGTGGTGAGTGTACTGGTGCCCTATGGCTGCCATCGCATCATCCAGGTGGATGCTGCACATTGGTGGTGGTGGTAACTTGTGTAATGTATTAATATAATATTAGACTACTGAACGTATATAGTAGATACTATATTGGTTCTACTAGATACTATATTGGTAAGTACTATTGTAGCTCTACAGTATAGTATTTCAGTACACCTCGCAGTGTATACCATAATATTTCACTCTAATATTTAACCATATCACATATATATATAAAGTCCATACTATAGTAATGTTACAGCACATACTGTACATTAGTTAAGAATTTCCCAAATTATAGATGTTATAAAATATAAATTATATTATCATTCAAATAAACAAAATGTTATTTTAGTTGTTATATTAATCTATAGACTCATACTACACGTCCATCCTATAGTAAAGTGCTGTAATTTTCCAAACATGTTTTATATTGTCTTCTAAGCTTTCACGAATAGGGCATGAGCTAACTTTATAAAACAGAGCTCTTCAAAGAATATATGCGTCCTCATTATTTTCACTGGGATGAATCTTAATCAGACCCGGTACCTTTGCCAACGTGGGTCTCCCTGTAAGCAGGATGTACGAAGAGGACCATCCGAAAAGCACATTTTAAAAACAAAATTGTTTTCTCTTTGGCTACACGACCAAATGACGTCACTTCCCGAGGAAGTCCCTCCCCGATTCCAATGAGGTCAGTGTCTGTGTTTTTGTGGGGGGATTGTAGGAAAGAGAAGAGCGCTTAATACTAAATAACATCATCATAAAATATCAAAGATTTAGTTGTAAGAGTCACAGGGAAAAACAGAAGCAAGCATGTCTGATACGGTAAGTCTGTGATCTGTGTATAGGAACTAAACATCTATATTAGCTGATCAGACTCGGTGTTTTCGGGCGCATAGCGTGCGTGTACTGTGAATCAAGATACAGCCTGAATAATAAATAATTATATTTTACTTTTATGAAAAAAATACAGTATATTAACCAGTAATGGAATGGGCGTTTAAAACTTTGTCAGAAACTAACGGGTCTGTTCAAGAGGAGTTGAGATATCTGCAATTTACAGCGCCGATGTGCTTAGGGGTACTGTTCTTGATGTCTCAGAATTTAAACGAAATAATCTTTAAAAAAATCGAGAGTGGGGAAGGCTGGGTTGTCTTTCGGTACAGTGTATGCATTTGTTTTGCCGAAAAATTAACAAATGTGTAGGGATTGTTTTTTAGGACTCTTCGGTATTCAGTGAAAAGCGATCGTGGCCCACTGGTACTGTCGGGAGTGAAACTGAAAATAAATGGATTGTTGTAGTTCGGAGTTGAAATGAAGGTTTTTGTTACTTAAGTGAAGTTAATTTCCTTCCGAAGCTGAACAGTAGATTTTGTTCTTCGCAACGTAATAAAAGGGCAGGAAAGCACATCGAGTCCTTAAAATAGGTGTCGAGACACAAGTAACTGCTTAAGGAGTTGTATTTAACATAAGCGGTAGTACAGTGATGGATGATAGTAGTTTGAACATTTTTATGTTTTCATATTTTTATGATTGTCTTTTAAGATGAGAAAAAGGGCACTAAAACCACCATATTGCTTGATATAATAGATACAATAAACGTATGTCTGTTGGCCTCTACAACTCTGGGATTTGTAGAAAGCAGCAGAAATGGCTTCCTACTTGCCTTTGCATATATTTGCCTCTGCCTTCCTTACATGAGTAGAGCCTGCAGTTATGGTGAACTTGGGCCATGAGAGTGTTGTGTTGTATGGTCCCATAGGACCGCAGTTCAGCAAAAGGTCTGCATCTCTATACGATTCTTGCTTTTGAGCTTCAGAAAGAGTTAACTCAATTAAAGAGATCAAGTGGAAAGGATCTTAAAGAAGGCTGCAATCCATCACCCCAGATCTGATAGATGCTTTAATGGCAAGACACTGGGATAATGAGTGGGGGAAAAAAAGGAATTATTTCTGAAGTTTGTGTGGACACAAAGACGAGGCCTACAGTGTAAAGTTGAGCCTGTCTGTTAAGATTATTGGCAATTCTGTCATGGATTGGCTCGACACAAATGTGCCGCGAGTCAAGAATTAACTAGTAAAACATACATGTGATATTATAGCTTCACACATTAAGACAGGGAACCCAAAAAAAACGCAAAAGCCCAAAACCCCATATGTTTGTTGGTTGTTTTGCCAGCCGCAGTGCTTATATTTAAGTTGCTGACTTCCAAACACACAAGTAGAGGGATGTAGAAGCCGAACTGATATCCTATAGCCACCTCAAAATCCAGCAGTGGTAGTAAAATAATTTGTTTGCCACATTGTCACGACAACAGCTCTTCGAAGGTTTAGAACTCCCTTAAACGGGTAGATAACAAAGAAACCCTTTGGCGCAGCCCTTAAACTTGCAGGGATTTGACGAAAAAGCGTGTTTGTAGCGCCGCGAAAAAACAGTGAGGTAACTATCAATGAATGTAGTTTCTCTAATCAGAGATTTGGGTGCAGCGCCGGGGCCGTGGGTTAAATTCCTGGAGCTGGGGTGCTGTCTGTGTGGAGTTTGCATGTCCTCCCTATGTGTACGTGGGTTTCCTCTGGTTGCTCTTACAGTCCACGAACGTACCCGCAGTTTAATTGGCCCGAGGGGCGAGTGTGTGTGTGCCCTGCGATGGATAGGCATGCTTTCCTGGGTGAACCCTGACTTGTTAGCCTGTTGTTAGTCCAGATTGGCTCCAGCTCCCCTGTGACCCTGTATCGGATAAAGTGGTTACGAACTGGATGGAGGATCAGAGATTTCAGGTACATTAGGACCTCACTGCAAATTCTTTCTTTGTTTTATGCTCTTTTAAATACTGAGTTAAGTGTTGTATAGCGCCGAATGAGACACTTTCTGTATCGGCCTCTCTGTGTGCATCTGTGAGCTCAGCGCTGTTTATTCAGAAGACAAAAACAGAGATGGAACCAAATATAATCTTAACTGTACAAAGCAGTTGTTATGGATACCACCTATTACACGAATTGTTTCCTGGAATGGGTTTTCGAAGAATTTTACGGTTAATCTTGTAGAACTTTAACCATCACGGGCATAATATTGTAGGGGCAGCTGTTTTCAAAGATCCATACAAACCAAGGATGGGAACAGAGCTTTGTTCTTTTTGACAATATACAGGAGACACAGGCCCAGACAAACTGGAGAATTCTAAACGCAGGTCTGCTCTTTACAGAGGCAGTGTACAACTTACGTACACTTCCTGTATGTTTTCATTAAAGCAATTTTCATTTGTATCCTTCATTATTCATTTTTTTTCCATCCTAGGTATGCTGTGTAAATACTTTGTTTCTGTTTTGACCACTTTGCGTTACAAGCCGATGCTGCTGTTGTGTTACAGATCGATTGCGGGATGTGCAGTTGAAATGAGATTGTTCTGCTGATATCTGAGACTTACATTTAAAAATAATAATAATTGCTTACATTTATATAGCACTTTTCTGGACATTCCACTCAAAGCGCTTTACAGGAAATGGGGACTCCCCTCCACCACCACCAATGTGCAGCCGCATCCACCTGGATGATGCGACTGCAGCCATAGTGCACCAGAACGCTCACCACACATCAGCTATCAGTGGGGAGGAGAGCAGAGTAATGAAGCCAATTCATAGATGGGGATTATTAGGAGGCCATGAGTGGTAAGGGCCAATGGGAAATTTGGCCAGGACACCGGGGTTACACACCTACTCTTCTCAAGAAACGCCCTGGGATTTTTAATTATCAAAGAGAGTCAGGACCTCGGTTTTATGTCTCATCTGAAGGATGGCACCTTTTTAGAGTATAGTGTCCCTGTCATTATACTGGGTTATTAGGACCCACATAGACCACAGGGTGAACGCCCTCTGCTGGCCCCACTAACACCTCTTCCAGCAGCAACCTTAGTTTTTCCCAGGAGGTCTCCCATCCAGGTACTGACCAGGTTCACACCTGCTTAGCTTCAGTGGGTTGCCGGTTGTGAGTTGCAGGGTGATATGGCTGTTGGAAGCACTATTTTAGGGGTGGAGAACCCTTAGGCTGGATGTCTAAGTCAAGAATGAAAGAACATTTACAAACGAGAGGAGTCCATTTGGCTCATGGTAGGTAGTAGCAATTCATAAGTTTGTAAAGACTTGAAGCACATCTAAGCATTGATCAGTTCAGTAAGTTAATTGGTTCAATAAGTCCGGAAAAGCCAACTACAGTCCTTGAGTGCTACAGGGTGTTGGTATTTTGTTAATTTAGAAGGTCTCTGAACTACTTAATTGAAAGCCAAGGTTTTTCATCAGAATTCCTTTGGTTCTGGATGGTTCTACGCAAACACATTGGGCAAACACACAAAACCCATTGCTCTCTGCTGTCAATAAATGTTATGGGTGGAGCATAGAGCTGAAACCAACCAGCCTTAAACCTAAGAATCGAAAGTGAGCAATTAAGACAAAATGATCATTTCCTCACTGCCGTTCCTACCTTGCTGGTGTTGAAGTTGATTACGTGTGACTCATAAAACCTGCTGAGTTGTGGTTGCTCATGACCAGGACTGGACAAGCCTATTAAAATTGGCCCGCCACCTTTATAATTCTCCTTGACATTTACTCTGGTTGAAATTGGAGACATATCATCACCAGCTGTTGTGGCTGGGCTATCAAATGAGTAAATCTGATGTAATCTTGGAGAGATGGGAGCAAACCAGGACATGCACAAACAAAACCCACTAGAGAACAAGCCGCAAAAATAAGATCAAGAATGCAGATGCAAGACTCCATAATAGCTTAGTTCTCAAGTATAACGTAAGTAACATCTAAAATGTTTTCTCTTAAACTTGTTTTGCAAAGTCCAGCCAAACTGAATAAATGGAAGGGACACTAGGGTTTCATTGTTACATTGGTCTAACAATCCTGTGTGTTTAAACATACTGCGCCCGACAGTATTCACTTTATAAAATGTGTTGACATCATTTGTAATTCGACAAAATGGGGCATCATTGGAAGGCAGTGAATACTTTTGCAAGGCACTGTATGTTAATATTGTAATCGAATGTTCAAATCTTAACTTCAGGCTATGAATTGGCTACATTAATCTGCTCTCCTCCCCACTGAGAGCTGATGTGTGGTGAGCGTTTTGGGGCACTATGGCTGCCGTCGCATCATCCAGGTGGGGTTCCAAATTGGTGGTGATGGAGGGGATCCCCATTACCTGTAAAGCAATTGGAGTGGAGTGTCCAGAAAAGCGCTATATAAGTGTAAGCTATGAATTATTATGTGACTAACTAACTAATATAGTGACTCTGTCCTTTGGATAAGCTGTATAACTGAGGTCCTGACTCTCTATGGTCATTACAAATCCCAGGGCGTTTCACGAAAAGAGTAGGGGTGTAACCTCAGCGTCCTGGCCAAATTTCCCATTGGTTTTTACCAATCATGGCCTCCTAATAATCCCCATCTATGAATTGGCTACATCACTCTGTTCTCCTCCCCACTGATAGCTGATGTGTGGTGAGCATTCTGGCGCACTATGGCTGCCATCGCATCATCCAGGTGGGGTTCCAAATTGGTGGTGGTGGAGGGGATCCCCATTACCTGTAAAGCGCTTTGAGTGGAGTGTCCAGAAAAGCGCTATATAAGTGTAAGCTGTTATTATTACTTCACTACTTGAGTGGCTGAGTCATCGCTGTTCTCTGGAGCAGTTCAGATCCATTGAAAGGATGCTCTCCATTTTCACTGCTGTCTCGTAGACACAAGGTGAACCTGTGACGTCGCTGGGCAGACAGATGCAGCGGGTGCTGCTCAGTATTAACCTTAGGGTAGTACAGTGAGCCATAA